GGTCAGTGCAAGCTGTGGTGTGGCTGGTAAACGGCTAAGGTGGGGTAAGGCAGCCCGGAGGCATTAATTTCCTCAGTTAAGCTATAGGACAGAGTATCGCATCCAAAAATACTTACTTTTCTGTCAGGCCCATACGTGCGTTTACCCCCTGGTGCCCCCGAAGTGCAACTCGAGCCCCCCAGAGCTCAGGGAAGCACTTCAGGTATCAGCAGAAAAGCCTGGAGCGTCTGCCGTAAATATATAGGAAGCCTAACGAAGCCTTGAATTAACGTTTTCCAGCTTGAATTTTAATTGCTCATTGCGCAAATGCCTTGCCATAGTCTCATATGGGGCGTAACATGCCACCCGCCTGAGGGAGTATTTCATATTGACCTTCCACGGTCAATACTCTTAATACTATCTACAATATTTAAGTCAACTTGCAGCTTTAGACCTTAATCACAGAGGTGGAAAAGAGACACATGCTCAGCTTCAGGAGCGAACGTTGATCTAAGAAGCGTTCGCTCTTCTGTTTGAGCCATCATGTTATGGTAACGAGAAGCCCTCAATGCCTCATGCCCAAGGATGGACACTTACTGAGGCAACACGATGTCTTCTGGTGATAGGCGGTCATTTTGGGTGCTTGCCTAAATCCGTAACTGCACTGATGAGCACTTTTAATTTGAGCATCCCAATGGAAAAGAAGACGTGGCTACCTAAGCAAAGGAAAACGTGAACCGTGTATTTTGCTTACCTGTAGTTCTCATGATTAAAATACAGTCCAGATCGCCTGCTCTGTTAGTGGTGGATGCACCTGGGAGACTGAGTGAGGAAGCACAACTGGTTTAGTTTATTTGGGATCATTAATACCTAGATTTTGATTTTTCTTACGCTTTTCTACATGCAGTTGCAAACATGGCTTACATAGTGCTTGTGTGTGGTTGCGGGGAGGTCGTTGTCTTGATTAATCAAACGTGACACAATCTTGATGACATTTTGAGGTTCAAGATAACCTTTTGCAGTGGTACTGGAGGTTAAGGTGGAGAGGACCTGGAAGCAGAACAGGAACTACCGAAATACACAAAGAAGGGTTGACTTTTTTGCCCCATTCATGCCAAACGTCAGTGACTCTTCCAACCTTTGGTTCTGACAAGCCACCAAAGTATCAGCCTGTTTTCCAGCATTATACAGAAGTAGGAGCACCAAGAGGACACACCGAAAACCTTCAGCTGTTTGGTAGACTGTGGGTTTTTTGCAGTTAAGTGGTGCTGGGTCTCTCCTCCTGATCTGGTAGAGCACCTAAGGCGGGCAGAGATTGGTAGGATCAGTAGTAGTTGCAGATCTGTTAGAAAGGAGGAGGAGTGATCATGAGGGCGATGGTAGACTTCTGATACCTGTGGGTCTGACTCTGTGGTTAAGTGTCTGTGGAAGCTGCTGTGATTCCACGTAGAAGATTCTGGGTTATAAAATGGTTAAACTCCAAATGGCTTTTAAGTGTGAAATTGAATTTAATTGCCTCATATGGAAAAAATGCCATTAAATTTCCTGCAAGATCTTACCTTGCACATGAACCCCACCATTTAAGATACATATAGTTTAAAAAAATACCTGTTCCAGAGCATTAGGAGTTTTAGTTGCTGTTGCAGGCTTGGGCTTATTTTGCATCTAAACTTTTTTTTTTTTTTATGTGAAATGGGACTTTGTGGGTTCACATGAGGAGTTTATAGCTAAAATCTGTGCAGAGACACATCCTGCCATTTTCTTCCAAGTTATGAGACCAGTGAGAGAAGTCAGGCATTGGCATCTTTATCAGTCTTTGTATTCAAGTAACTAGAAGCCAGTTTTCTAAAATAAGCGGCTTTTTCTTTCTCCCCCCAAAGGAAATAACTTGCAAGAAGTGACTGGAGTAAGTGGGCACAGACTGTGGAGAAAGCTGCATCGTTTTCCATGGTAGAAAAATGTCGTGACAAATCCTTATCTTCTCTTCATCTTCTAAAATTGCTGCTCTGTTTGTTTTTCCACACCTTTGACCTCTTGCAGGATATATCGTGGCTGCTAACAGCCTGTCAGCATGAAAAGAATACTGTGAGACCGAGTTCGTACCAACTGTTAGTCCAATTAAGATTTTACAGAGCTGCAGACCAAATAATAGCCTTTTTAACTAGGAAGCTGTAACTCTCGTCTCTTCCCTTTCGTTATATTCTGCTTGCCACGGGAAAATACCCAGGACTTCAATTTTAGAAGGCTGTTTTGTTTGGTGATTGGCAACAGCTGTATGCTTTTTTGGAAGACTGTGTAAGCAGCATGTTTTGTTTTCCAGAAGGGAAAAAAAAAATTAGAAGCAGAGTAAAACAAAGCGGAGAGCTCGTGAGCGTGAAGAAATGTATACAGCCCGAACTTCTCTCATCAGAGGTGGTGTATGTCCTGTCGTTAACTGAGATAATGGCAAAATGCTGTGTCATTTATAGAAAATGTTGAGTGAGGTGAAAAATAACTTGGTTTTGTGAGTTAACAGACTTAGGAATGCTTTGAATGTAAAGTTGGGGAATCTGCCAAAACCCCAGAGATTTGTTTTTGTGGGGAGGAGCAGCCTGTGAGTCGTATTTAAAAGTTCTGGTTACAAAAAATAAAAAAAAAAACTTAGTTGTATAGCCTTAGGGAAAGTACAACATACATACAAGAGATTTAACAAAATCCCTTCAACAGCTAAATTGGTCTTTGAAGGCAAATGTGCACATCTTCTGTGGACTAGAGGCATATTTTTATGTGCTCATAATAGTAATAAAACTTCCAGAAATATATGAAATATTTCATATTTAGAGTGCATAAAATTATGTGCTGGTATTTGTAAATGGTATGTATGCTGCAACACCCAGCAGCCGATCATTAATTAAAATGTTCAAACTATAGTTCTAAAAAACTCAAAATGACCAAAACCCCCCATCTCTTTTCTTAAACCCCATGCTTTCCTCTTTCTAAAATAATTTGGAGGATGGTTGCAACATAATTTAACTACTAGAAACTGATGGTTGAGATGACTGAGGGACCTGTAATCAGGAACTGAGACACCCTCCTGCAGTGATTGCTTCCTGAAATATGGGACAGGAGCTGTGAAATCAGACGAGGGATGGTGGCCTCTTAAGTCCTGTAACTTTCTGGTTTTGGTGTCACGCTGCAGAAAACACCATATCAAAAGCAGTCAGCAGCAATAGATGTAGTGGTGCATCCTTAAATTTTTTTGTGGTATCAAGATGTAATTCAGTATGATGTGTCCAGCAATCAATTTAAATGCATTTATCATTTGTTTGAGAGTAATTAACTGCTGTGGTTGCTTTTATGTGCTATGCGATATAATGTTGATTCCATCTGAATGTAGTTTGACATTGTTCTGAAAA